GACTATAATGAAGAACAGAATAGATAGTATAATATACTACAAAAAAAAAACAAGTACTAGTAGAAAATAACTAGCCTGAAACATATGACTAGTTTTTGCCAAAGCTTTTACTAGCAATACAAAAAATGTGTCTATCTCACAAAGCTTAGAAAGAAAAGTTAAAGAATAGTAAGTGGTTTTCATCTTTACAATATCTAAATACTAGTATAAATGACTTATTAATTTCTAATTCTTTTTTAGATTCCAGGAGTGAATTTTGCTATATAAATGATCTAGCAATCAACATGCTTGAATAGAAAGTTGATAAGCTATCTGATTTTACTATAAAGAGGAACTTCAAGCATATCACTAATTTATTGAGATGGATTACAAATATGCCTATTAGTGTAAAGGATAAGGATAGTAAAACCATTATAGTTACTGGAAATGTTGCTTATATTGATAATGGTGAAAAGGAGCCAATACTATGTATAGATACATCATGGATTCGAAAAGTTCAAGGCAATCTTGATTTAGCAAAAAATCAATTTCGCTTAAAATTATATAGGAAAACTTATACTATTCCAACATATAGCAAAGCTCCAGTAGCTAAGAATTCACCAAAAGAGAAGCAGAGCCAAGCATCTACAATTTTTTAAATAATTCTGGAAAAGACTTAAAACAAAGTATATAAATTGTATGAATTATGTCTGAAAAAGACTTAAAAAAAAGTGCATAAATTGTATTAATTATAGGAATATGACAATTCATATGAAAGAGCTCGAAAAAGCATTATTTTTTAGCATTAAATCGAATTTAAAAATCATAGGATACTATAATAGTTTGCTTAGATGATGCAAAACCTTGCCTTCTCTTAATTCTTGCTCAAAGCCAGAGACTAGGTAATCAATTGAGGAGTTTGCTTATTTTCTGCCTTCAAGTGATGAAATCACTCAAAGGTGGGATAAGAACATAACCAGATACTCTAATTTTTTCTATATTATTATTAGTTCTCTTAAACAAATCCAAGATATCTTTAGAGAATTTAGTAGGCAAAATAATATCTTTTTTTGTTCCTGGTATTTCATTATTATTTTTACACAAATCTTTAATATCAGAAATATGAATAGACTTGGGTTTATTCTTTTTGGTCTTTTTTATCTTCTTTTTAGAAATAACATTGCATTCTATAAGATCTGCTTGCTGAATCGAACCAGTTTCTTCTAATAATAGTTTTATATCTTTAGAATCTATTGGTGGATAAGCACTTCTCCAAATTTGATACACCTGCTATGTTAAAATTTTGTATTTGTTAGCTATAGCTTCTGATACCCGTTTTATTAAATATTTAACTTTAATAATGTCCTAAATATCTTCAGCAGATAGATAGGTTGCATCTGAGCACAAATACTAAATCATTTTTTTACAAATAGCAAAAAAAATATAATTGGTATATTTTCGGTACATATTTGATATTTATTCGATATTATTAATATATTTTCGATATTATCGATATATTTTTGGTAGATTCAATTTATTCAGTAGATTTGATTTATTTGATATAACCAATACATTTAGTGTATTCGATATATTTAGTTTATTTGATTCAAAAAATTCACTTATAAATTTTTTTAGTATATTAATAACTAAGCCAAAAAAAAATTATAGCCAATATGCATATCTTAAGAGATATCAAGAATAGAGAGGCTGTTGGGTTTTCTAAAGTAAAAACTTTCCCAGATCATTAGCTTGGTAGCATCCACAAATTAGAACTTGAAAAAGCATTGCGTAGTAGCATCAAAACTGCTTCTGATATTGCTAATGAATATAAAGATCTGCAAGGTGTATATTTAAAGCAAAAAAAGAATCTTGAGCTAGTTCAAGCTAATACTAGAAAAAGAATTAGCTAGCTAAATATGTCTAATACTAGGCTTAGATCTTCTAAATAGGCATTCTATACTAAAATCCAAATGTTTAAATCTGAGATTAAAACACTAAAGAGTAAAGCAATTCTTGCCCAGAAAGCTTCGTCTCTTAACAAGGATGAGATTCTTTATCTTAAAGATGAAATAGATAAACTAAAAGCCAAAGTAAAAGAATTAGAATCAGAAATGGAATTAGAACACATATCTCATGATTCAGATACCACTTTATTTAAAAATAAAATAAGTGAATTAAATTCCCTTAATCATACATTAAAGTAGGAAAGGGATAATTTAAATTTAAAGAAACATAAATTGGAAGCTGAGATAGGGCGTAAGGATTCTGAAATCACTTCTCTTGGAGCTAAAGTAAATGAGCTAGAAAAAAAAGAAAGAGGTCTAATATGCAGATATGGGTTAATTAGCTATTTTAGGTCTAGAGTAAAAGAATTGAAAGATCAGTTAGAACAACAAATATTTTTGTCTTTCCACAAACCAAACATAATAGGTGAAGCTGAAGCAGATCTAGACTCAGCTAAAAACTCTTTGGAAAAAGAGTCCTTTTCTCAAGAAACTAATACTCATTTAGCAAAACAGATTTCGGAAGCATCTAGTAAGTTTAATGAAGTGATTGAAGGTGATAGCAAACCAGAGAAAGGTAATAAAATCACTAGCCCCGAAATAATCTCAGTATTACTCAATTCCTTCTTTTAGCAGAATGTGGTCTTTATTATAATAATAATATTACTAATTATATACTTTCTATAGTGTATATTCTCTTATCTATATTCTTTTATTTTGTCTCATAATAAAGAAAAAAATATCCCAAATTATAAAATACTATTAAATAAAAATTAGAGTTATAGATTCCCAATCCATTATACAAAAGAACTGAAAAAAAGAACTACCACCTATGAAACTTTACCTTATAGATATGGATGAGGCTACAAAGTACAAATTATCCTGAAATATTAGACATCTTGCAATGACATGGCCTTTCAGCATAATAGTTAGCAGAAAAAGTGGTACAGGTAAGACCAATTTACTAGCAAATCTTGTTCTTGAAAATAAATATGAACATATATATAAAAGACAAAAAGAAAGTTCCAGATATATTAGATGTAATAATTTGATAGTTTGCGATTACTATTTTGATAAGCCAAAATAGGCATTCGTTAGATATATGTATGGAATAATAGCAAGTAATTCCAAAGTACCCTATTACGAGAATATTAGATTCAGCTACATATTACCAGAACAAATTTCTAGTATGAAATCATTTTCATCTAAGAGGAGCATCATAATCATTTTTGAGGATGTATGTGTTGCTTCCAAGTCTATCCAAAATCGAATTATACCATTTTTTATACATGAGCAATATCGAAATATTTCTCCATACTATATTAGTCATAGGACATGTCCACATATAAGGGCTTAGAATATTGTTACTTATAAATCAAACGAGTTGACTCACCTAATTTTATATGTAAATTTATGCAAAAAAATTATTTAAATTAAATTT